CATGTTTTATCTCCTTGTCTATGTAGGTTCCCCTTGTGTCCCTCTCTCGCTCCCTCTCTGTCTCTTGTGTCAAGTTTGCGTGTCCCAGTTCATGCTTCTCCATGTTTCCCATTTTATTTTGAAAGGTCTGGTGTTTCCACGTTTGGTGTGTTTAGTTTTACTTTTCCTTGTGGCGTCATAATCATTTGCGTTAGCTGTGTCTCTCCGGTGTTTCCACTTCCCTCACTGCTCTTCGGTGTATTTAAGTCCTCTGTTCAGTGTTGGGTCGTCTGTTGGTCTTGCTTCACGTTTCTCCAGGTTGTGCTCATGCTCATGTTTTTTTTTATTCACGTCATAGTTTGTACCTGTCCAGATTCATGTTCATATTTCTTGTCACAGTTTTCATAGTTATTCTTAGTTTATCCCAGTGTAGGTTTTAGTTTTTTGTTTATAATAATTGCCACAATTAAGGCTAATTTTTTGTTACACTTTGTTTTTCTTCTTTCTAATTTCTAATAGTTCTAACAGTGCTCCGGGCCAATGGTGTTGTAGAATAAACTTGACAGGGGGCACCTGGGGTGGGTGTGGTTATATTTCCTTCCACCCCTGGACATTCCCCTGCCAGTGTACAGTATTTTATTTAAACATATGCGATTAAGATCAAATTAGTGGTGGTGGGAACATATTCCTACCATGCCTACCATAAACTATGCCCATGTGTTGTTGGCTGTTTTGTAAACACAGTTTGACTAAGCCCAAACTTCCTATTTCAAATCAAAGGTGTTACTAAAACTAAGACTAACTGTGAAAAAAACCCAGTTTAGTCAGTGGAATAAAAGGAAAAACCTTAGAATGAATCAAAGAGTAAGGCTTTAAAATATGCTGTCATAACATAGGTTCAAAATTAAGAAAAATGTAAAAAAAAAATGTGAAGAAAGCAGTAATGTACAAAAGAAAGGGTGCACAGAAGAAACATTCATAGATGACTGAGCAAGGAAACCGCAGTTATACACAAAGAAAACAAAACCATCAAAGTACCACAGGAAATAACTAAAGGAGGCAGGAATACCAACAATAAACCAGATGTAAGAGACAAGGAAACAAACAGCCCGAGGTGTAAAAACAGAAGAGGGCACAAACAGAAACACTGAGTACAGTTAGATGATGCAAACCAAAACTCATCCACAATACTGTGTTAATCACTAGAAACCAGAAGAAAAAAACACCAAGAAACTAGTGGCATAAAACTGAAGCTCATTGTGAAATTAAACAGGAAACAAAGTCTCACAAATCAAAGAAAACAGGAAATGAAAACTAAAACACTGGAACATTAACAAAACACCAAACATAAACCACGACTCAGATAGATAAACTTAGCATCTAAGATATGAAGTCAAGATCCTATCAGGAAATCCCAGAGGCATGACAATGACGACTGAGACCGGGAAAGGGTCGCAGTTATACTGCAATACCTCAGAACTCCCTAACCCTTATATAAAAATCATTAAAAAGAAGCTAAACATTAAAAACTAAACACTATGAAGTTTAAAGTTTGAAGAGGTGAACAAAAAGTCCTTGTCTATAATTTTGAAGAAGTGGCTGGGAAGTACCAGGTTTTGGAAAATTATATTACACAATGGAGTCTCGGCGATGTAATATACATTACACCACAGAATAAAGCCTCACCTCTTCTGCTAAAGTAGGAACACTGTCTGTATTGCATAGATTAGATCTGCGCCTGCCCATACCTGTATTCACACAGAACCTGCAAAAACAAGGTGGAGTTTAAAAACCTCAACTTTCTCTTTGCATCAGATGTTTTCAATCAGCAAACCACACCCTTTAAAATTCTTTTGTCATAAAAGGTGGTTTTCTCCCCCAGCCAGTGAGAACTAAGTCCATATTAACCATGGAAATTATTCATTATTGTTTGAGTAATTCCTATATTTATTACGTCAAAGACAGTGCGCACGCCTGCATTGGGCAGTTATTTCCCCGTAGCAAATAAATCAGTTGAGCAGTTTTAAATGTGCACGCCACATCAGATCAACCAACACGATCGCTCCCAGTGCAGTTTTTTTTAATCCCGACTGAATCAAGTTTAACCCTCTTGGGTACAACATTGATTATAAAGGAGAATGAAAACCCACTAAAATGTATTAAATTGCACAAAAAATGTGCAACCTTTCAATGAAAATATGAACATGGATTACTCTTATATAACACATGATTTTGTTAACCTACAGTATAAAAGAAAATAAAGATTTCAAATAAGGTAACATAGACTTAATTCTTGACTTGACTTACATGTGTTTGAACCCTTAAAGAACCCTTTCAAACCAGATAAATTATAGTTTAAACTTGAGTTTGTCTGCTTGGAGGAAAAGTGAAGGTGAATTTGAAAAACACGCATAATTACCAATGTAGCGGTAAGGTGTTCTTAAATGCAGGATCATCAAATTATGGAACCACAAATCATTGATAGAGTCTAACTTTCCCTTTTTTTTTCATTAACTGGACAAATGCAGAGAGAGCTGCACCTTACTGGAAAATCAAAAATAAGGTAAAACTTTGCATGGGTGCATTATAAAAATCTTGTGATCTAATAGGGTCTGGTGAGAGCTTAAATGGAATGAATTATATGCAAAAGGAATATTTATGTTTTCACATTATGAGAGTAAATCTTGGGAGTTTCCATTTTCTATTTGGGTACTTCAATTTCCTCCCACAAAAACATCCTGGGTTTT